AATGAACATAAACAAATTTCAGATTTCTCCGGTTCAAATAAAACACAAACACAAATATGGGCCCTTAAAATATTTGAACACACAACACAGAAATTAACTTATTTTAATCAGCAAGTTGCCAAGCTTCAAGTTTTCAGATGTCTGTGTTACCGTTCGGTTTTCCTCAGGTAAGTTTGGTGTGGAGTGGAGCTTACTCGAAGCGGATGAGAAGCCCCGAGGGAACGACGCTGTCTAGTGTACAGAATCAGAATCAGTTTATTCGCTCAAACCATACAGCATGGTACATGAGGAACATAAAGTATATACAATGTCTATAATGTCGTCAGAGGTACATTAGTATAAATATACACACATATAAATAATTAATATAAATATACATACGTAAATAAATGTTTTACAACTGCATGTAGAGAGGATGTACATATAGTACATGTAATAATAAAGTATATGCAAAAAGAAAATACCAGGAGGACAGCTAAGAAGGACAGACAGTCTCAAATATTTTTGAAATAAATGTACATAGTTTTTGTAAAGATTGTATATTTGAATTGGCCATGAGTTCATAAAACTTAACAACATTTGGTCTGGTGCAGTAACTTTTGTGTAAAAATTTTTTTCTTATCTCTGAAAAAGCTGTACACTCTAAAATGTAGTGGTATTCATCGCCTATCTTTCCATTGTTACAAACTACATACTACCTATATACACAGGCTGTTACCTGAGTGTATTACCTGTATGCGTTTTCCTACAACATTGTAAAACGAAGCCGGTTTTCTTTTCATGTGTAGCTCATGGATTGAAATGCATGAAATAAAGAATTCAATGTTTTTGTTGCAGACAGAATCCTTTTTAAATTTTTTGTTTCAAATAATATTTTCAATAATTCGACAATTTTAATATACTGTGTTTTTCTTAATCAAATTTTATAACAAAAATATTTTTTTTAACCACCAAAATCTGTCGTTGTAATCTGGCGACAAAAAGGGAAGTAATTCAAATTAGTGCTAAACGAAAGAAGAAAGTGAATCATAAACAAGTCTCTCGATAAATAACAATAAAACTTAGACAAAATCCACAAATGGTCAATAAACTGATAAATCAGCGGTAGTTTTATTCGCTAGACTTAAGAAATTGATATACTGATCAAAAAGGAGGAAAAACGATCATGCACGTGCCTTAATATTGTGATATTTTTCTTCTCTCTCTCTCTCTCTCTCTCTCTCTCTCTCTCTCTCTCTCTCTCTCTCTCTCTCTCTCTCTCTCTCTCTACTAACTGGTACAGATATAAACAGACACGAAATAACATAGCAATGGATCATTATTTGATTTAATTAATATCAAATACTTCATTAATTTGTTTTAAAAGTTGTTTTTTTTTTACTTTTATTCTTTTCATACACTCCGTTTAAAAAAAAGCAACAATAATTTGACACAAATGCCAAGGCTATGATATCGCATGTGAAAATGATATCGATGAAATAATAATGAAACAATGAATCAAATGTGTTGTTGAATGGCTAGACAACGATGTGCACATCCAGCGAGCGTTACCCAAGGTATACTCAAGACAGGTGTGAAACCCCCAGGGCATGTCGTTTCCTGCTCAGGCACTGCTAATCCCTATACACAGGAAATGATCGCGGCTAATACTTACATTGTAATACACAAAGAAACAGAATTTGTCAAAGAAAACAAAAATATATGAATTTTTGCATTGAATATTTATTAATATAAACTATAATTTCGTCTGTGAAGTTTATCATTACACCTGCACATCCTATCTTATCTATTGAACACGAAAATCGAGAAATATTAAAATTAAAAAGAAAGACATTGTTTTAAAAAGTAATACATTAAAATGAAGGTGAAAAACGATAATTTTTCTTGATCTCTTGTATAAAGTTCACGTGCTCAAAGTTAACTCTCGCCATCGAATGCTTTTCGGTCATTTGACAATTTGAGAAAAATGCCTGCACATTTATATAAAAGAGGGAAGTAAATTAAAGAAAAGTTTTCTTAATTTGGGAACAGAACATAAACGATGAGAAATAAAGAAGAAAAGAGTTTTTTTTCTTGGTATCCTGGATAAAGAAAATTTAAGTTCACGTGCCCACTACATGTAACTGCAAATGCTCGTCATCGAATGTTTTCTGGTAATTTGACACTTTAAGAAAAAGCCTGTACATTTTATATACGATAAATCGAAATTAATTAATAAACAATATGAAGATGTACATTTTTAAAAAGATGTACATCTTTTTTTTTTCAAATGAATGCTGAAAATCGTTTATCGAAACTTGAACAGTCTGAGTTCAACATTTATTACAGTTTGCATATAATATGAAGATTTAACAAAAAAAAAAAACTAATTAAAATTTCTAGTATTTAATTTTTTTTCTTGATAGATTTTTAATAACACAAAATTTTAACCATTGCAAAGACGTAACAATTTAATAAAATTTTCTATTCAATTTCAAATATTGATATGTAATTTTAGAAGCAAAAAAAAACTTATTTTTTTCTTAGTTTAAATTCTATTCATAGCAAAATTAATTAATAAACACACGTTTTTTTTTTTTTTTTTTTTTTTTTTTTTTTTTTTGTTACAGGGAAAATTCGCAAATTATAATTCGGGGAGATAACTCCCGTTTGTTTACGATACTAATTATCAGTAATTGATCGATGATTTAACCGCGGCGGGGACAGGTAAGTGATGAATTTCCCGCGGAGGGAACGCGGTTTACCTGTCTACCTGGCCAAATACCGCGTTGTGATTATACCGCGGCGGGGACGCGGGAAATACGGGATCCGCGTTGCCTGAACTGTACATAGGCCGATATTTCAGCTTAAATCATCGCATTCCTTCCTCCTTAAATTATCTTTTCCCTCTACTACAAAACTCGTGTTTTAATTAGGCCCTAAAGCATGCCCAGAGTTGTCAACAGTCGAACTATTGGACTTTTGTAAGTAAAAAGCAAGTTGTGTTTGTGAAACACTATGCGCCCGGCGGCAACAAGGATTGAAAAAGCTATTTTAGCATATAGGTTACAGTCAAGATCACAAGGGCATTGCCCTTGGTGTCAATTGAAAGAGCTTATTAATAATTAACAAGTTGCTGTCCTTTAAAAAAGGACTGCAATACGTGGACCATATGCATGTTTTTCTAACCGAAATTATTTAATTAAGATAATTTCTAGGTGTAGTGAATATTCATGTTCACATTTTCTACAATGATCTGCATACTTATGACTGATTGTAGTCTCAAAGCAAAATTGTTAAATGTTGTCTCCGATTAGCGGCTTTTAGTTTTGTCAGTTTAAAAAATCGGGCTTTTTTGATACGTGTAACCCATAATGGCTGGGACTTCACACATGTTCTGTATTTATACAGAAAAAATCAATCATGGGAAAAATAGGGATCTGATGGTTCAAGTGTAGCACAGCTCTGTAGTACGCAGATTTTTTTTTGCCCCCCCCCCCCCATATTAAAAACCGTTGCTACAGACCTCTTTCAAACGGTATTTGGATTGCTGAAATATTAAATTGTTTTGCGAGCCTTGATACACAAAACTACTGCCGGTGAAAACTTGTTTTATCTTTTCAAAGCTAGAACTTTTTTCATTCAAGTTGTTAAGTTACATATATCTATACAGTATACTACAAGTTCTTCCTACTTTTTAAAATGATTCTACCATAGAATCAATGTTTAGTTTGTATATAAAAGTATATGTATAATAGAGAAATTCAGATCCACAAATGAATATGAAAATGGGAAATGCGGATTTAAAAGCGCGATTTGACAATGAATAGCATATTCTAATTCGAATAGGGCGAATTATTCTACGGGCAAGTTACCTTAGGTGCGAACTCTCTAGCATTCTCGCGCCTGCGTAGCCTGTCGTTTGCCCATGGCATCCGGTTTAACCTCCCTTATATATTTACTGCGTGGACCTCAGGGTCCACGCAATGAAGTATACATACCAAATATGAAGTCTCTCTCTCATTGGTTCAAAAGTTATGGCGAAGGTTAAAGTTGACAACAAAAACAGAGAGGACAAAAACAATACACGCCTCGGATCTGTCGATCCAGGCGCATAAGTATATAGGACTGTCTAGCTGGAGTATAAAAATTAATTTTAATTGGATAAAAACTTTACTTTATATCGTATAAAATGAGGAGTTGACTTCGTCACATTGACTTCCGTCAAAAACGTATCAATCCACCTGACGTTTAATACATTCAAATTTTGTTAAGGAATGAAGCTTATTTCAACTTTTTTTATACGATATAACTTAACTTGGAGCAGGTTACGCTTTATAAACTTGAAATAAGCTTCATTCCTTATAATTTAATTTCAGTGTAGACAAGGAGCCAACTTTTTTCAATGCCAACTTCTCTTTTGACCTACCATACCCCCCCCCCTTCCCCCTGTTGCTACTTGCTTGTCCGTGGTCACAAAATTAACCCTGGGCTGGTGTGGGAGAAGGTATCCTAAATGACCTTATAAAAATGAATTTCTGTGTTCTTTCTATTTTAATATTTCTTCACTTATGGTAGTTATGTTAGTTTAAGAATCGTTGTAAATTGTGCTTTGGAAAAAAATAAAATTAATCAAATTTTCATTTCATTGTGAATTGTAGCTGCAGAACTGTAGCTCTCCGAAAATTATATACATGTATTGACAGACTGGAGAGATCTCAGTGGTCCTCCATCCCATTTTTTTCAGACCAGCTGCAGAGAGCTACAGATATGCAGCTAGTACGTGTAATGGTAATGATCCTTTTACAAAGCTAATGTCCAAATAACTATCTCACTTCCAAATTCCATCGGAATCGAAAGCAAGTTTCTTTAGACTTGCCTAGAAAGCCGAACTTTCAAAAGCACTGTTCTTGCACTGCTAGGAACAGATTTCGTAGGTTGAAAGTTCACACAGGGCTAAGGCAGAAGTAGGTATCGTTATAAAAGTGATTTTTTTTTTTTGCATTCAATATAAAACTTACCATTCCTTGCATGGTAACATACGACTCCGGCCCTATTACTATAGCCGCAGCTACTAGATCCAACTACAGAATGAGAACACTCTAACAAGGAGCTTTCTTTTCCATTACAATTGAGGCCATCCAACCACACATCTTTATCACCCCCTCCAAATGCGGACGAATGAGCTGGGAGACCTCTACAAAAGACACTTTATCAATGTTGCCTTGTGTCATAAAATTAAAAAATATATCAGTTATTATTCATTTATTCACAGAATTGTTGTTTGAAAGTAAATTATGAAAAACGCTTTAGAAAATACCCTGAATATCCCAAAACTTTACAAGTCACATCAGCTTCCCTTCTGTCCCAATATCCGTCGCAAACACTTCTCCATTGACCATTTATCAAAACTTCTATCCGACCCTCTTGTGCAGAGCTCCCGTTAACAATCCTGATTATAACTAGTAATGGACATTAACGAGTGAATTTTCTTACTTTAAAAATGAGAAAATATTAAACAGTCGAAAAACATGTCCTTGCCGTTCAATCTTATAAATATGGTTACAAAAATGATCGAAAACAAATAAAAAAAACCCTTAAGGTAAGTCACTCGTCAGCTTTTCAGAAAAGTTCACGCAGAAGCTTTTACTTCAAAACTACTTATTAAAATTCAATTTTTATAACATATTTAAATTCAACAATGTAAATTTTTTAACATTCAATGAAAAAACTGCTCAAAAATCTACAAAGAAGCAAGATTTATGAGGGACTATTTCTTTTGGTGGAAGGATATTTAGCAGAAAATTCTGCAAATCTGCACATTTATAAAATTTAATGTAATGGAAATTTAGCCTCACATACTTTTACTCGGAGAATATTTTCCGTTTTGATATTGCTTAAAATATGTAATATAGGCTTCATTTATATTTTTAGACTAAGTTTTACACCTTCCCTCAACAAACTTTTCCAAAAAATGAAAATATATTAAAGAAGTCAAGATCAAATTTACACCATTTTTTGCCTGAAAATCACATATTTTGACAAATATTTCAAAATTAACATCACTGACCCCATCTTTTTCTTTCATTATTTTAAACTACTCGATACTTGTGACTGATCAGCACTTAAGTCGTAAAAAGTTTGATATAAGAAAATTTTTTATTGCTTATTAAGTTTTTTAAAACCCCAAATATGTTATTTTTTAGTGCAAAAAGGTCACACAATAATTTACGCGCATTAATTTGCAAGATTTGTTTAATGATAAATATTATTCAAACTATTTTACGTAAAATAAGATTATATTTATTGCCATGCTTACATCTGATCAAATATAATAAGGGTTAAAGTAATTAACCAAAGAGATGAAATTTAAGTGCAAAAAGGTCAACTTAAATGTACCATAGATCAGTAGGATGCACACTGACCCCCTATTTTCTTTGCGATTTTGAGTTACACTTTATGAGTACTTATTCAAAATATACTTCTCAAAAAAATCCTTGATTAAACAAATTTCAGGAGTGACTTACCTTAAGATACAAGAGTTGGGTCTTTTATATTTTAAAATACAGAAGGGTTAATTATCTTTAAAGAATAAAGTTATATTGTGTCATACTAGTGTGAAATATACCGAGAGATTATTTTTGAAAACATCATGGCAGACGCTCTTACCCTAGATATCAATGTGAAGAAGGGGGAAAGGCGTTATAAAGATCGATTTGGCAAATGTCTGAACAGACAGACAGTCGTCTGATTTATTCATTTTCTATAATATTATTATAAACATAATAATAATAGTTCTTTATTGAAAGAAGGTTACCCGATTAGTGCAAGCACTACTTTTTCCTGGAGAAGGTGTCAATTTTCTGAAAATGTTTTATATTGTCAATTTTGTCAAAATTTTAAAGAGCTATTAATTGTAATGCACATTAGACCTCTAAGTAGTTGTATTCGAGTAAGAGGATCGTGTTGGTGTTAATGACTATAGTGGAAGTAACATAGTGCTCAAGGAAAGAAAAACTATCAGATGACTAAGGGACGTAATTAGTTGATCAATATCAACTTGCGGCCTAGTTCTTTGTATAAATAATTACATAAAATATCTATAACATTTGTTAAAATGCATACAAGTAGAGGACAGTCACTATGATATAAACACTTAAATTATCTTAGATACTCACCACCTGTAGAAGGATAACAAATGACACCGGCATTCCGCCCAGAAATGTGACTGTTTGCTCCTATGACTGATTTTGAACATTGCAATAGAGAAACTTCATGCCCTGTGCAATTAATTCCGTCCAACCAGTTATGTGAATTTCCCTCTCCGAATACGGTCGAAGCAGTCGGGAGGCCCCTGTCAAATGCACCATTTGTTTAGGTTATAAGATGTTCTTTGATTGAATTCTCGTCGTTATGCATTTTTTCTCTTTTGTCAGTGACCTTGAACTTAGCTATGCATGTAGCTGCAGAACTGTAGCGTTATGGTTTTATTTATCGGACTTTGACACATAAAACCATAACGCTACAGTTATGCAGCTAGATATTAGCGGAACTGGCCTTGTGTCAAGGCTATGACACATCCTTTATGATATTGATTGACTGTATATTGTTTAACGCTCCTCTCGAGTCTCGAGAATTTTCTCACTCATATGGAGACGCCGATGTCCTATACTCTGCACTCACGGCCATTGATCGGGGAGGGGTCTTTTTTGTGCCAGCACCTACTGCGACACGGGACCTCAGTTTATGTTGTCTCATCCGAAGGACCTGCTCCACAGTGGGATTCGAACCCGCAACGTTTGGATCAACTCATTACTTTGAGACTCTAGAAGAAACGTTCTTATCACTGCACCACCCTTTATGACGTAATATCAAATGTGAAGTTTGAAAGTAATATTTTTTCAACTTTTGGCCTTAAACTTGCCAAAAAAAAAACATCCTTGGGGTTTTAATGAAATATTTGTGTTCAATGTTAACTTTTAATTGACCTTCATTTGAGAGTTTTAAAAAGGATATGAAATAAATCCTCGTGCTCTCTCCCTCTCTCCCTCTGCCTTTTTTGAATCAGTGATCTTAATGAAGCTTGAGCGACATGGTGTGTTAAACAATACATACTCATATGAAATATGTACAATACATGTAAGTATGAGCCGCTATTGCTCCTTATTACTATAAATCAATTATTTTTCGGGATTCATTTATTCGCGAGTTACCAGTTTAAATTCAATCTGCGGCTTCGCGGATATGTCTCTCTCTCTCGAAAAAAAAATAAAGTTTGGTCTACAGTAACAGGTCAAGATCATAACTCATTTTCATGTCATAATAAAAGTTTGTTTTATAGAGAAATATGAAAATAACGACACATTAATCGGGTGAGTATCATTACCGCTTCATTTTCGAAATTTTCATTACCGCTACATAGCCATTACCGCTACAAAAAACGTTACATTACCGCTACATTTAAAACATGTAAAAGTATGCATTACCGCTACATTGCCCCTTTCGTTAGCCATCAACTTATGCGTGTACAGATTGATTTAAAGTACAACATACATGTATAGAAGTATAAATCCTTTCCTGTTTCCCATGCTCACCAAGGGGAGGTGAAAGTAGGACTTTGAGCGGGATTTTTTTCATTTAATTTTTTGTTTGAGATTTATTCTATTTCTAAAAACTTCTGTTTAGAAACCGAAATTGTACTTTACTACACATTGAGTGAATTGTGTTGATTGGAACTAATATTCCGTACCATACCTGGCTATTTCAATATGTAGCGGTAACGAGTTGTTTTCGGCTGCTTCAGTATGTAGCGGTTATAAGTTGTTTTCGGCGAAAAAAATGTAGCGGTAATGATCAGTCGAAAATTTGAAAAAATGTAGCGGTGATGAGTTTTGGGGATGTAGCGTTAATGTTGACCTCCCCATTAATCAAGCTTACGGTCAAATAAAACAATACAAATTGGGATAAGAGCAAACACAATCTTTAAAAACGACAGAGGTGGGATCGGGTGCCATGCAGGAGTAAGCATTCCCTGTCGACCGGTCACATTGCCGTTTGCTCCTTGTCCCGTCTTGGCAAGCGGATAGAATATACATGTATAAAGTTAACATAAAAGTTATGCAAACTAGATGCACACAATTCGTCAAGGTGCATCACACCTGTTGTAACCACCGGTATCATTCTATCAAATTCTGAATTTGCAATTTTTTTTAAAAAAATTTAGATTGACGGATTCGATATGAAAGTACATGTATTT